CCGTAAATGGGTTTGAAAGGCTGCACAAGGGTACAAAGGAAGAAAAATATCTGTTGGGATGGTTACAGAGGCAAGTCTGAAGGTATTGCTTGTTTGAAGATGCAAAGGCTTGCTAGGACAAAGATGAGGCTGTTCCGTTACCCATAATGTTTCTCAGACATCAGTTTTTGGCAGTCAGAGTGGGTGCTGCTCCATAAGGACACTTAATCCAGTGGGACAGTTCCTCTGGCTTTATCAGCTCCAAGGGACAGGGTAGGTTGGGGGGACCGAGTTCAGAGTTCGACTTGGTTTGAAATAATTGGCTGATATTTGCTTGTCTAGCTGTCTTTTGCTACTCTTGAGTTAAACTGCCATGTGTCTGTTGATGTGAGACCTCTGGTTTGTGCTGTCAGCCGCTGAGAGCAGCCGTATGTCAAAATCTGGCTGACTGCTGGTGGGTGTAAGCTGAGCCCCCCTATGCTGCTGTACAACAAAATCCTGGTACCTGCTACAAAATACCCTGCTCCTGATTCTGTTGCAACACTTCAGCATCCACTAAAACCCAAGCCTAGCTTGTAAAATGACAATTTCTGGTAAATTCTTCTTGTCTAGTCTTTGTATTCTTCCATACTTTTTGGGTTTGGCCGAGAACAGTGCCTACTATTCCCAGCACTGCACCTGAGGAAATGCCAGACCTGTGAAGTCCAGTTTGTAGAAATCTTGCTCTGATTTTAATGGGAGGAAAAAATAATGGTGGTATAAGGATATTACTTTATTGCTTAATAAATCAAGCCTGGCTTAAATGCAGGAACTTTTTACACTTTTTGATTAAAGCAATGTACTTGAGTAGGTGAGTAGTTGTCAAAGTAACCCTGGAGAAGATGTCTTCTGAGTTTTCTGTGGACAAAACTCAAGAGGATTATGGCTGCACCTTGACCATCTGGAACTCTGGATTTGGCGTCAGACTTCTCATTTCTGAATGTGGACTGACTCGTGGTGATATTCAGCTTATCGTCAGGAAAAACTCCACTTTCAGCTATCTGCTTCTTTGCATCATGTTAATTTCTCCAACTTTTGATATTGAGGAGATGCTCTGAAACTGAACAAACTCGTTGGTTTGGGTTTTAGAAAACACATTTTTTTTTTCTTGTGTGTTTTCTTTAGAGAAATTTGTAGGGCAAAGTGGTTGCATGACACCTGTTGGTTTTTACAGCGGTAACGAGCCCTGTGCCTTCACTCTGGCAGATGTGGAGGCACTTTGTGCTATGATAAACCTGCCGGCTCAGCCAGTTTACAACAGAGGCGTTTGGAGGCCCAGCTCTGCGTTATGTGTTGTATGTACAGGCAACAAATGATCTCTCGCACCTTTGAGACGCTAGTTCCCTTTGTGACAGGGAAGGAGGGAATAAAACAGGGCACAGGAGGAGGTGTTCATCATCAGGTTCTTCTGGGGAGCATGAAGATGTGTCCAGGCTCTTTGTTTATATGGCTCTTAACAGAAATAAAAATCGGGTGAGTGAGCTGGAATGTTGGTGAAAATTTAATAATCCTTCCTTGATGTAGTTCTCTAAATTGCTTTTCATGCAACTTAGGAAACTGAATTCTTATTTTGGTCTTCTACAGAAATAAAACTGGAATTACAGAAAGAAATCTATACAGCAGTATGGATTTCATAATAATTTTTCTTCCCACCTCCTAATGCTTGTCCCTTTGGGGTGGTTAATGCTGTAGATAGTCAAATGCATTGATTTGAAGCAGGTGGTTGCAAATATTGAATGGGCACGTCACTAAACCAGTAGGGATGACCTCCCTGGGACTTGGGGCAGGGAGATCACTTTCATGACTTTCAGGATGTGTCAATACAGATCTCCCGATGGCGAAGCTTTCTAACACGTCCTGCAAGGGTCGTGCTGGTCCAAAGCAGGTTATTGATGGAGGTTTTCAAGAACAGGTCTTGTGGCTGATCTTGCTGAAATGTTTCCTCCAGGCATTCCTCCTTCCAGTGCTGACGTAGTAAAGGAATTTGCTGAGGATGCAAGCTGGGTGGTACAGGAGAAAGTCAGCGCAGCGCGGGAAGGGCTGCGTGCTGCTGAGGGCTGCAGTCCTCCCAATGCGGTGGGATCCCAAATGTAAGGTTTTACACATGAGGCCTTGTAGGAATTTGTTAAAATAAGAGTTTGATAACTAAAAGCTAAAACAATTAGGTCTGACCGCAGGCAGGCTGAGCCATCAAGGTGATCTGGTCAGGAAAAGATTATTCCAGGTGAAGGTATGCCCAGCAGAGATGGGAATGTTCAGGTCCCTGTGTACATCACAGGGAGATCTCCCCTGGAACGGCATGCGCAGTTCTTCTCCCTGTGTGGAAAAGAAATTGAAGAACTCATAGGGAGGATGTTTGGGGGAATGGACAGTGTGTTTATAAGGAAAGATTTGAGAGGGTGGCTTATTTAGCTCATAGAACAAAGCTGAGAGGAGATGCAGTGGCTTTCTGTAAATACCCCAGCATAAACCCCGCTGGGAGAAGAAACTAATAAGCTAATGGACAATGCTGGCACGTGAACACCACCGTCAGCTGACTGCTGATTTCTTTTGGAAATTAGAAGGCAATTTCTAACCATTAGGAGTCAGTTTCTGGAAGAAAAGCCCAATAAGTGTGTGTGCAGGAACAATTAGTTTTAACATGGAACTAAATAAAGTCATTTCCCTCCCAGAAACGGTGTGCCTGGGGTCGTGAGAATGGCACTCAGCCATCCAGGGTCGTTCCGACTGGATTTTCAGGCTAAGAATATAATACGTGGGAACATCGTGTAGTATAAAATATCAAAGTGAGGTGGCTTGATAAGGAAAGCAAAATTAAAATTAATAATACAGTCTGAGTGGCTGTTAAAGCTGCTTCAGTTCATAATTACATTCAAAGAGTGATACTTGTTCAGACTGGCAGACGCACAGTGAGGAGACTTGGGCGCCTGCTGACACTGCAAGCTGCTCTTACGCAGGAGGAGCTGCAATGGCCCAGTTAAGTCGAGGAAATACCTGACTTCAAGGAGGAAAGTCTAGGATTTTCTCCTTTTAATTGGGACATATTAATCTGGTGCTGGAAACCATTGTGAACGTAAGCATCATGAGATTCAGACAAGGTAAGGAAAAAACCTGACAGAGGAATTAAAACGCTCAGTCTGTTGTTAGATGACTTAAAGCTGTGCTCTGAAATACGCACTGAACAACAAAAATACCTTTGAGAAGGGATACTTAACAGGTATATGATGCAACCTCTTAGGAAATTATGTGTGTAGACTGCTTTTCTTGTTTAGAGAAGTTTCCAGCCGCTGCTAGAGCTAAGGCTGGGTGACAGCAGGACTGAGGTGTGTGGAGGGAGGTGACAACTTTTTCCTCCTAGGAACTTGTTTGTAACATGCCCCAGTGAGTACAAGCACGATGTCATCTCGAACCGTGGCCTAAACCTGCCAAAACAGTATTGAGGAGCTTATTTGCTACAGAAAGAGGAAGGCTGTGGCGGTTGGGCAGGTGGCGATGACACAATTAGGTGCCCTGGCCCCTGCACCAAGCTGATGACGGTTTAGCATCTTGGGTGCCAGCAAAGCTGTTCAGCTGTGTCGGGGCAGCTGACACTGAACAGTGCTGACCTGTCATGTAGGAAAGCAGAATCCTGTTTGCATTCGGCATTGGTGCTTGCCACCTACCTGCTCTCGAGTCCTCAGCATCAGCAGCAGTGGTTACCAGAGCCGCTGGGTGCAGCTCGTGCTGAGTCAGCTGGCAGGGGAGGCTGGGGAGATGGTTTCGATGAAGTATTCTCCACAACACCGTGTTTGAACCTAGCATTTGCTGCAATTTTCATTTTATGGAAGGGGTTTAAAAGGTGCTTCTCTGCCCTTATGGTCAGAAGAAATCCCATTTGTTAGAATTGTTTTGCATTATTTAAGGAGAAGATGGTGTTCCTGTGTGGTGCAGCAGCAGATGGGAGTATTTGTGCTGCTAGACTGCGGCTTGGTGGGGGGTTCTCAGGTGATGGAGGTGTTTGGTGCTCTCATTCCTCTGTTGTACCACACAGAGTCTTTAACATTGTGTTGCAGTGTCTTAACTGTTAAATGATGTATGTTGCTGAGCAAGTATTTCTCTTTTTTTCAAAAGCAGCATAGCCACAACAGGGTTGTTTTTGTCACCTGAGCCTGCACTCTTTTGCTTTGAGTGGCCTGGATTCACGGCAGAACTTTAAGGTTATGAGCCGTTCTTCTCGAGGATCTCACTTGTCCTCTTTTTCCTCCATTTCCTTCTGTTACCAGTTCAGTACCTTATCTGCCTTAAGGGCATAAGATCATCCCGAGAGGCTCCTGTTGGCATGACTCAGGGGTGTGAGTGTGTTTCACCCCCTCGGGAGTTTTAAGTTACACTTCAACTTGCGCCTTTCAACTCAGCATTACAGGATATTGCAGCAAATCCTCGTGATGCTTTTCTTCCTGTAGGAACTGGACTTTAAACCCTCTGTCAATCTCTTGTCAAGCAGAGCTGAATCCTTCCAATTAGTCTGCTTGGCTCTGGTGCTTTGATGAGTCGGGCTGGGCTGGGGAAGGGGGAGTGGATGGTGGCTCTGAGCCCCAGCGATGCCCTGGCAGCATTTTAGAGCCGTTCCAGGCTCTGGCCTCAAGTGGCCAGGGGTGTCAGCAGCGGCGAGGGCCCACAGGAAGGCAGGGTGCTGTGGATCAGCTAGTATCTTTAAACTGGCCATGTATATTCTTCCTGGAGGAGGAATGTTCTTCTGCATCAGGCAAAGGAGGCTGAGATGTAACAAATAAAAGTCGAGTCTAAGGTCTGTTTGGAATGGGCGAAGGTGGCAGCTCTGGTTCTCCAGAAATACCAGGGCTTGAACAGTAGACTCATCACAAAGGTGGTGGTTTTGCTGTTCTTTTCCTTCATGCTTCATTCTGGAAAATAAATGTTCATTGCAGGTGGTCGTCAATGCATTATATACATCTGGAATCTGATTCTCATCTCACTTTTGTCTTGTAGTTGTCCTTATTGGAGACTCTGGAGTAGGCAAGAGTAACCTTCTGTCTCGGTTCACCCGCAATGAGTTTAACTTGGAAAGCAAAAGCACCATTGGAGTAGAGTTCGCAACAAGAAGCATCCAAGTTGATGGGAAGACAATAAAGGCTCAGATATGGGACACAGCAGGGCAGGAGCGATACCGAGCTATAACGTCAGCGTAAGTGAGAGCTTGGATGGCTGAAGAGAAACTTTTTCTGAGGAGGGTAATTTTGGGCCCTTCCAGTTCCTCAGAAATTGCAAATGGGGATGTTTGTATTTTATCGTGTACTATCCATAACCTATGGCAGAAGGAAGCTTCAATATTATTTGGTCCAGAAACTTGATATAGTGTGTCCCTGCACACACTGATTTACTCTCAGTGCTCTCCGTGATACGTAACTGGAGGCATTTCAAGCCTAAAATGTAAGAGCTTTGAGAGACTCATTTTAATGCAAGCGATTGATAAAGTCCTATCAGTATTCATGGAGGTTTTATCAGTGGTAACCTAAGAGCAGAAACCCTCCTGTAGCAGCAAGGAAAGACTGCTCACTTTGTGTGCTCATTTAGTGGGAAAAAAGCCCTCAGAGCGAAAGCTGGATTTAGGTGAAGCTGGAGGTAACTGTGGGGTGCGAGAACACGGCCTGGTTTTTTTTTTTTTTTTTTTTTTTTTTGAATGCATTACTGTGCCTCTCCCTGGTCTGAAAGGAGACCAGCTGCAGCCTTTTGTAAAGGGAATAGATCGGGCTGACATTTTTATGATGCAGTGAGTCATTCTAAAGCCTCTCTATCATGACCGGCCGTGCCCATACTGCACCCACAGTGATGGGTGGGGGAGGCTTTTCAGGAGCAGATCAGAGGTTAAAGGTGGCAGTAGCTCCCCACATATTCCAGAGCTTCATTTTTAGGATGCAGGGTTCTCCCCACAAGCATGGAGTTTGGCTTACCTCCTGGACTCTGAGCTGTCCTGGCTGTTCTGGTGGTCCTGGGGCATAATCCTAGTCTGGATGCTCGGCTTCACTGCTTCAAGTTCCACATAGCCTGCTTCTGGATGTTTTTTTTGTAAAGCTGCCTTAGTAATAGCTATCTCCTGTTGTTGCACATAACTTGTCACTTTTAATCATGATGTTTCTTGCTGGTTGTCTAACACGTCTCTTCGCCCACAGGTACTATCGTGGAGCTGTAGGGGCATTATTGGTGTATGACATCGCTAAGCACCTTACTTACGAGAACGTAGAGCGATGGTTGAAAGAGCTGAGAGACCATGCTGACAGCAATATTGTAATCATGCTTGTGGGAAACAAGAGCGACTTGCGCCACCTCAGAGCAGTCCCTACAGATGAGGCCAGAGCTTTTGCAGGTTGGTGGACTCAATTTCCTAATGCGAAATCTCTGGGGATCTGCATACCTGGTTTTAGGCACACAAGTGTGCTGGTAGGAAAAAAAAGTGCTGCTGGTGATGTTCCTCAGTGTCGTATGGTGGTGGTTGCCTCTTTTTAAATAAGTCAAAAAGGAAGCCTTGCAGAACATGTGTGCTGATGGGGTTTCAAGAATCAGCAGAGGCACTTGAAGATTTTAAACTGGATTTATTCTCTTTCCTATGCATTGATTTTCTTGCAAAAACTGTGCCTGTGGCTTTAGGTTTGAGTTTGTTGTATGGTGGTAGCTTTGCACTTGTGTATTGCTGCCTTTGTACCAACTGATCTGGAGCCCTACGCAGGTGCCTGTGACTTTTGTTAAACCGGCTTTCTGACTCTTGTTATGTAATTAACATCTGTGAAAAAATAATTCTAGTTTCTGTAAATCTTTCCTTGTTTTAGGCCAAATTTCTTTCACCCAGGAGTGTAGCTGGGTTTCTTACATTAAGGCATGCTGTAGCTGCATTTGCAGAGTTTATGGCCAGTGAGAACCCCTGCCTGCAGGTTGAGGACTGTCATTCCCCTGTTAAGATGCCAGCAGGTGGGAGGTGGAGAAATTTGATGAGGTTAAAGAAAATCCAGGAAGCTTCCTCACACAGTTCTTGGAAGTGTCACAAATTCTCAGTTTCAGTGATGCAGGAAGCTGTGCCGCAAAGTAACACAGCACTGGACTGATCCCTGTGCTTTGGGATGAGTGTGAATTCTAATGCTGGTGTGGGGTGGTGTTGCTTTCAGATCATGTAAGGGGGGGAAAAACCCACAATTTTTTATACTTTTTCTTGATACTTGTGCGTATCATCCGGAACACCATGAATATAATCTGGTACCGAAGTTTTTCTAGATGGGAAACAGGTACGTGATGAAGCCCTCTAATTATAGTATTTCTGTTTGCACAGAGAAGAATGGTTTGTCATTTATCGAGACATCTGCTTTAGACTCCACAAATGTGGAAGCAGCTTTCCAGACTATTCTGACAGGTGAGTCATCTAGTGCTTTGTGTTTCGAGGGGGAAGGGTGGAAAGCTGCTCAGATGTGATGCAAATAGGCATTTCTTTGCTTATAAAGTGTTTAAAATGTTGCTATTTAATCATTCTTCACAGCCATAAGATTTGGAGTCTGGTTTTGAAGCATCACAGTTGAAAGGCCAGCCTTGGTCTCAGGAGTGAATCCTTGTTCGCTTTGATGTGCCCCAGGTTTCTAGTCAGCCTAGTTCATGTTTCAGGTTTCCCATTTGTGTGTGGCATAGGGAGTGCCTCCGGGAGCATCAAATTAAAGCAGCCATTGTTTATCAGAGGAGAAGTCAATCTAGTTTGTTTCCATCTTTAATGGTGACCGTAGCAGTTGCCAACGGAAAGGGGATGAAAGAGTAGAGATCCTCCTTTGAACAGTGCCTGGTAGTCTGAGACACAGTGACTCCTGAGCTGCAGGGTAGTCCCTGTTACTGTATTTAATAGTCCTGGCTGGACTTCTGGCCTCTCTAACACGTGATGGCAGTGAGTGCTGCAATTTTTAAAGTACTCCCTTTTTGTTTAAACCCTTTTTTAGATAGGCAAAACTTGTTAAGAGTCTGAGAGCTCCTGCTTGTGAATTTGGGCATGGATTTTTCATGAGAAAGACATTTTTTGTTGCTTATTTGTAATTGCTAAAACCTGAAATTTCTTCCTTTATGCATGTGTTCTTGTTAGCCCCTGTCCTCTCAGGAGCACCTAGACTGAACTTTGAGGTCAGATTCTGGCCAAATGTGCTGTGTGTAATGTAGAACAAACAGCCTTGCTGCCTGCTTTTTCAGTTTTCAGAGGGGATTGGGGCTCTCAGATGAAGGTTAGTTAATTAACTTTTATCCTTGTTCAGCAATAGTGCTAAAAAACCAGAACTGGCAATATTTCAGACATTGTTTATCCCCTCCCAAGGTGGCTGTGCGGCTGTCGTAGCCAATATAAACTGGTCACCTAATTGTCCCCATCTCCTGTTGGACTGTTCTGGTTTCAGCAGTGATGGATGAAGGAATGGAAAGTTTCCTGCCTGCCCTGGGCTGCTGCCTTACTTCCCCGGAGCTGAGTGACGCTTAGACGATATACTGCTGTTGCCATGGGGAAGCAGTTCACCTCCTGGGCACAGGCTGTTTCTTTCTCTCTCCTCTCATGCTTCCAACAGTACCTTTTATTCCAGAAGTTATTTTGGATTCTAATTCGCTGAGGCTTGATTTTTTTTTTTCTAGTTTAATTTTTCTGTAAGGGAAAGCAGAGAACAAGTGATTAAAACTTGCCCTCTGTGGACTCTGACAGATTGTTGAGGCTGCTGGTTTTCCACAAATGTCAGTGTTCCTTGCATGTTGCTCTGACAGTGTTTTGGGTAAAGAGCTCTCGGGTATATGGACAGGATCCGTGTTCAGAAGGGGTTAGTTCAGCTGTGCTGGAAGAAACACTTCTGCTGATTAGTGGGCATGTGGCTCGCTCCAGACAGGAGCTCCTGTTTCAGGGAGATAAAGATGAAGTAAATAATGCATTAGCAGCAGGTTGGCTCCATCTCGGCTGTGACTGGCATGCTGAGGACAAATGTTCTGCCAATACACTTCTCAATAACACTTCACAGCTGGCTTTTTCTGTTAATGATTTGCTTTGAAGGAAAGAGGGGAGCAGTCATCTGAGGAATGTGGTTTTCAGAGTGACCCTGCAGAATCACGGATTGGGCAAGGCTGCCTCCAAGTGTAGTGCGTGCGGGTGGAACGCTCGCTGTCCTTTGAAGAAGGAAGGTGGTAAAGCGGAGAGGCTTTGCCACAGGCTGTGAGCAGAGGTGGCTGACAGAAGGGGCAGGGCATGCTGCTGCACCAGCTCTGCCAGTATTTGCGGTGCTGGGAACTGCACCACAGAGACATCCCAGGCTGCTCCCGATGCCTTTTGCCCAGTGGCTTAGATCTCTCCTGAACAGGGTGTCGTGACTATGGTCTGTAGCAGAACTCCTATCTCCTCCAGCCCTTCTGAAGCTGGGCTGGTTGGGACAGTGTCGGAAACTTGTAAGAGTAGTTCCCTTGGAGGTGTAGCAGGGTGCGTGTTAAGTTCATCCACACCCAGATCCTCAGATTAAGCCGCTTTGAATAGATGGCTTTGGGCTTGGGAAATACGAATCCATTCCAGCTAGCACAGCCTGAGTGGGTATGTGATCTGCTGTTACAGGTGGAAGAGGGGGAGAAAGTTTCTTTCCTCTCCCTATATTATAGAGGACTTTTAGAGGTGGGTATATCTTAGTGGGCTTCCTGTCCTGCTGTGGATTCCAGAGGAGGTTTTGGGGACCTTTTCCTTCTGTAATGGTTTAGGGTAATGGTCCCTATCCAAATTCTTCTGTTGCAAGATGTCTAGACTTCAGGGGCTGATTGTTGTGCACACAAAGCTGCTTTGTATCATCTGGCAAATAGGAGAGACTGGTATTATAATCCTAGCCACTCTGAACACTCGCAACAGGATAAAGCATCCTTAAAGTAAACTGGAGTCTGCCTCCCTTCCCTGCCCGGCTCTGTGCTGTGCTCCCGTGCTGCATTCTGCTGCCGTTTTGTATCTAAGGAATCCCGTCTCCAAGGAAACAACATCACAGAGCATTAACGTCAACCAGTCTAGGGATTTCCTCTTTTGTTAGCTCTGTACACCTGAAAATGAACGGAACACGAGTGCAGGCTGAGCGGACAAGGACCGGACAAGCTCCTCCTAGGCTCACTGTCGCTTTTTCCCAGCCTCTACAGCGCAAGGCCTGTCTCGCACAGTTACCAATTATGCGGTGAAGCATTCTGCTGAATGTGCTCTTAATAAGGTCTCATTCAGTTCCTGAGCAGAGCAGAAAGCGTAGTGTCTTCATTAAAAAGCACACGTCTTCATTAGCCCGGCGTTCCTCCCTGCAGTCCAGTTTCAGCGCAGGCTTTGCCGCTGGGCATTTTGCCCCAGCGAGAGCAGCTGTGTGTGGTGGGAGTGTGCAGCTGATCGGGGAAAGGTGGGTTTCAGCCGATGAGGTTTTCACCGAGGGCAGTGCGCTGGGGCTGCACAAAGGTTTGTGCCGCAGAGGAGGGAGAGTGTCCTTGCAGGGCTGCTGGGGAGGCTCGTGGAAGGGGGGATCATGGAAATGTGTTCCCAGAGACTGAGGGGACAGACCCTTTCTCAGCAGAGAAATCAATGCTGTTCACATTGGTTTTAAGGCTTCAGGGCTGTTTCCTGAAGCTGTTTGCTGTGAGGTGAGGGTGTTACACCCAGGGCACCCTGGCTGCCAGTCCCTGCTCGGTGAAGGAGGTGTGGGACAGCTGGTGTTAGGGACCGGTATGAACTTGTTCAGGAATTTCTTTGGAAAACTGAGTGTTCCTGCTGCCAGAGGTGCTACTAGAGAGGTTCTACTAATGAAGGTGGTAGGGGCCTTGTCCTGTTGGATAGGAACAGGCAGCGTTCTGGACTTGAAGGTAACTGTCCCTCTACCCTCAGCTGGGGCAAGGTGGTGGAGCAGAAAACTTGTCCTGAAGAATGCGGAGCGGATGCCGTCCAGCTGTGCTGCTCCCACCTGCACACAGGCACTCTGCTGACCCTGCCGAGGCTGATCTTATCTGCAAATTCCCACATGGGCTTGCAGGTGGCTTTAAAGCTCTGATTTCACAAGATTCATTTAACTTGTGAAGCTGCTTTTGTGTAAGACTGTTGGAAAAAAGTCTGAACTCAAGAAAGGGTGAAATCAGAAAATCTTTTTACACGGGCAGCTCTTGTTTGGTTGCCTCAGTGACCTGATCTGTAACTGCATGTGTATGTAAAACCCATTTTTCTGAACCCTTTATCCCTCTTGGAGTCTGAGCTGTCAGTTGGTGGCCCAACAGGCAGATTCTTTCAAAGCACTGTTTGCAAAGATTAGTGTTACTTACACAGCACAGCATCTACAGGAGACATTTTTATTTTGCCAGCAGCCCCGTAGGTGCGTGCAGCCCTGCTCTTACTCTGTGCTTGGCCTCTGTTTGTGTTGGCAGCTTAAATCAGCGCAGGCTGGTTGCATCAAGGGCAAGGTTTTCCAGCCTTTTTTCCCGGGGACCCTTTGTAGCTCCTCAATGCCATCTCTTCCCGTTGATGTAAAAGCAGGCACTCAGCTCTGCGATCAGCCCGTGGCAGCAGAGAGGAGACCTCTCTGCACAAGGTTGCTCAGTTTCCAGTACTGAAATGATGTCGGGATGTGTGCTGAGCGGCACCTCATTAAAATTCTGAACAAAGGCTACTCCCTAATGACAAATTTCTGGTGGAAAAGACTGTGTCTTGGTTTGGGGTCAGGCGAGCTGTGTGTTTGGACAGTCCTTGTCCCGCTGATAAGAGACTTCAGACCTCCAGAAGAACTTGGACCTTCGCTTTGTTTTCCTGGAGCTGTTTGCGAGCTGTGCCCTTCCTTGCTTTGCTCTGCAGGAGGAGTGGAGTGCAGACACGCTCCTCCTCTGCAGCCTGGGCTTATCTGAAACCCTCCAGCTGGGCAGGGAGCTGGAGCCTGCAAATTGGGTGTGGGCATCACCTCCCTCCTCCCAGGGGCTGGGGTGTTTGTTGCCAGCACGCTTTTCTGTTGTGTAAAGTGGAGGAGGTGACGTTGTCTTTTTAGGGTCGGCTTTTTTGCTGATGCTGAAACACTTTCAAACTTTTTGTTACACTGAGCTTTAGCAAGCCTTTTGGTTTTTTTAAACATTAATGGTTTAAAACTTGAATTTGCAAGCGAGTTCCCCATGTGCTATTTTTGGTATCCTTTATTTCCTTTCTGGGGGTGAGGTGCTACACATGCTTTACTCTTTATGCAGCTGAAATAAGTGCTTTAGTAGGTACTCTGAGTTTATGTACAGCACAAGCCATGGGCCACTAACAAATCCCAGGAAACCAGGCAAGGCTCTGGGTGCAGGTGTGCAGCGTTCCCCACTCAGCAGGTGCTGGGACAGGCACAGGAGTTTAACCCCTGCTCTCTGATTTATGCTGGAATTTATCTGGACTCCGCATTTCTCCTCTGTAGTTCTGAAGTTTGGCTGCACTGACACGGTGCCTTTTGTAAAGGGCTCGTGTTCTGCTTCAGGCGCCAGGTCTCCTCTTCTGGGCCACAGTCAACATTTTCTGAAGATTTAAAAACACTTGGATGATAGACAAGCTGTTGGGTGTGACAGGCATGCTGAGAGAGAAGAAGTGGCCCTTGCAGTCCTACTGGAGATAGACGTTTTGAGTGGTTCTTTCTAATCCTGCCTTCGTCTGCCGATACGTCAGCAAATATGCAACCACTGTCCCCAGAGCCAGAATTCTGTCCGTTTACTAACTCTTATCTCGAGGGGAGTAAAACAATTGTTAAAAAAATGAATCTTTTCCAAAAAAATAGAAGTATTTTATTTTCTGAATATAGAAAGCATCACAACTGAAGTTCTTGTGACCGCTTCTGTGCATTACCTATATATTTCCAAAACGATGGGAAATCTTTATATATTTTGTGCCTGGTTTCCTCCAAACCTAACTTTCTGGTGGTGTATTGCCGGTGTACGTGTAATGACGAGCTCTCTCTCATCTTCCAGAGATCTATCGTATTGTTTCCCAGAAGCAAATGTCTGACAGACGTGAAAACGATATGTCTCCAAGCAACAACGTGGTTCCCATTCATGTCCCTCCAACCACCGAAAACAAACCAAAGATGCAGTGCTGTCAGAATATATAGAATTGTTCATTCTTTCCTAAAAGGCTGTGTATATTCCCCAGGTCCAAGATTTAAATATATTTGTAATTCTTGTGCTTACTTTCTTGTGTTTAGTTACTGCTTATTCCTTCTGAATTTCTCCATGTCTTAAACACTTTGATTTCAGTGTTTCTAAATCTATTGCTTCTGTGTGGCTGCAGTATTTTCCCAACACTGACTTGTTGGTTTTGGTTCAGGAAATTGTTTGGAACTGATCTGATCTCTTTCCAACATGACGCTCGCTAGTCAGAGCACAGACACCTGTAGTGAGCACTGGAAGGTGTTATTCTGCTCCTCGCAGAACAATTACTGTCAGGTTAGCTAGGAAAATATCTCTGGGCAGGATAACCTTTCCCTGTCTGAAGGTGTTGAATGCTGCATCTAAAGCTTGAGGAAATGCCGCTGCTCTAAAGTGCAATTTTAATGTAACTTAATGTTTTTGGCTACATCTTCAGATTGTCAAGTAGAGAATTTTTTCATAGAATATTATGGGGGAGAAAAGAGAATTTCTGGCGAACAAGCAGCAGGGTTCTTGCTACCTGTGAGGCAGCTTGTGTGGTTTGGCCCCTGCTGCAGAGGGGGTGGTGAGGGGAGGCAGAGCTGCGGGGAGGCTGGCCGGGGACTCCCTCCGCTGTGCCTCTTGCGCACGAGCTGCGTGACTGCTGAAGGGCCGCTCCAACCCTGGAACTTCCAGCGTGTTTTGTGCTGCCCCAGACTTGGCCTCCACAGTGCTGGTGGTATCAGGAGTTGAGGATGCCTTCTTTCTTTCATGGAACACAGACTTGAAGAGCGTTGTCACGTATTACTTACCACTTTTATTAATACATGGCACATCTGTTAATAGAGTCAAATGTTTGAGCTGGTGAATCAATAACTTCCACAACTGGTCTTAGTTGTCAGTTGTTTCATCCGGTATTTTTAAACTACTCCAGTGGTTTGGTATATGTTCTTTAACAAAAACAGCTGGAGTAGTTTTCCTACTGGATGTGTTCCTTCTGTGGTCTGTCACTCGGTACAAATGACCTGTTCGATTCGCTTGTTCAGGGATCCATGGACTGTGCCTTCTGTCTCTGCACTTGAAACCCCTGCGCACCACTCAGTACGTGCTATTCCCAAACATGCCGCTAACACCGAGGTTTGGGGGCTAGAGACACAGAATTCCTACACTATTTAAAAGAACTGTTTGTTGTATAAATGCCTGCGGTTATTTATACAATTACAGGGAAGTAATTGATTGTAGTGGATGTTTCTCAAACTCTGATATGACCCACTTGGAACATCCAGGTCTGGGTAGGCACTACCAGCTGCATTTCGTACCCAACCTTTCTGTCTTGCGGTGCTCATGATGTGTAAGGCACACAGAAGGCATTGCTGTAGTCGGTCACTTTGGTTTTTGTTTTTTTTATCCATTTCTCCTCCTAGTTCTGAAGATGCTGTTCTGATCTGTTTGTAAATTACTTTGTATTTTATGCATGTACTGTACTTTGATTCATTATTTTTTTAGATTGATTTAAAATATATTCATCCATAATTCTAATAAAGAATTACAGGGGACGACTCAGTACAGTGTTGGGTGCGCTTTTTGGGAGAACTGGGGTTCGACCTGAAGGTTTTTACTGACTGGAAGCTAGTAAGCTTCTTGGAACGGGCTCTAGGAAGAGACTGAAGTAACCCCTGAAGAGGAACTGAAAGGGTCACGTAACAGTTCCCTTCTTCACCAGCCCAGCCCTGCAGCTTCTTGGGGCTGCTGCAGTTCAGATCTGTGACAGTCTGGCAGCTTCAGGAAGCTTTTACGCTTTGAAAAGGCTGTGGGTTCGCTCTACTCAAACCTCTGAGTGCCTTTCACAAACCTGCTTGGTTTGTTTTTCATTTTCTGGGTTTTTTTTTCACATTGCCACCAGTAAGAAAATCCTGTGGGAGAGCAAACTCCTGCTTTCTACAGCAAATGGTTGAAGCTTTTTGCTCCCACGTTGGTGTCCTGCTGGAGGAGCGGTGGCCAGTGAGCATTGTGTGTGGTGGCCCTGGCCGCTTCTGCAGCAGCCGTCACCCCCAGAGTGCTGTGGGTGCTGGTGGCTCTGGGGACAGAGCCTGGCATTGCAGGAGAGGCTGGGGTGTAAGACAGCTGTTCTCCCAGCACTTTCTGTGGCCAGACCGGAGCATATTTTGGAATTGACCAAATTACTGGAGCAGCCAAGTTCCAAATGTGTCAACTGGCAATGCAGGGTGAGTTCCTCTTCCCTTTTCTGACCCGCGTACGCAGGCAGCTCAGCTCAGCTGTGACGTCTGGGTTGGATTTCGCGTGGTTTTATGCAAGACACCTCCTTCTGCAGCAAATGCAAACAGAAGGGAGCCTGTGGGAGCACCAGTCGCTGTCGGAGGCTGAGGCCGCCGCTGCCCTGTGCAGTGCCGGCGTGAGCACGTGCCGCTTCCTTCGCCTTGCAACAAACTGTCCTGTGTTCGAGTCCTGGGCAGCAGGGAAATGGCTGTGTCTGCTGCTAGACAAAGTAAGATCTCTGATATTTTTTTTTTTCCCTCCAGAACTTTAAAATTACTAATCCTAAAACAGGCCTTAGGAATGCTGTACAAAAACTGCTGCAACATGGAATATACAATCTTCATGCAATGATTTGGTAATCCCTTCACAATCTATCAACTTGTAAAGCAAAACTGAGTGCTGCATGTACCCAGAGGTAAGTTCTCACCTGGCAAAGCCTCTGCCTCCTGTTCCCTCATGTTTAGCTTGTTCCTGCCTCAGCACCGCAGGGCTGTGGCGGCCGGTGACACTCCTGGGACAAGCAGGTGCTTTACAGAGCGCTTTTGGAGAGACAATGCAAGACATTATTCTGTCTGAACACCGACCCATCGGGGTTTTGTTCCCGCTCAGCTGCTGATTAATCATCCTCTGCTGTAGCTGCCATTGCTTCTGGGCTGGAGCGTCTCTTTTCTGCTAGGAGGAGACAACCGGTTATAACAGATACAGCTTTGGGGCCCTGGAATGAGCTTCCTGCGTTTCTGGGAACTCTGTCTGGTGTTGCAAAATGGACTTGACCTGCCAAAAGCTTTTGCTCTTATTTACATATTTGAAAGTCCCAACGTTAACAGCTACGGAGCTGTTCAGCGAGTGGTTCTTGTGTTTGATGGGAGCTGAGGTTCTGACTCTTAAGCAGAAAGGACAGGGAATTGTTCTGATGGAAAGACACTTTTATTAAGCTAGAATTAGTTACTCTATCAGTTCCAACCTGATGAATTTCCAGACTTAAATGGCTTATTGAGTGTGGCTTGTCAAATAAGAAGATTACATGCTGGGCTTTAGTTAACAAGATTTTTAGAAATATGAAGCACAAATATTGAAAAAGCTTCAACATGTAGCAGTCCTTGGCGTTGCCTGGGAGTCATTAATTCTGAAGGTGTTTCTGTTGCAAATCTGCACTCGTGATTTATTGATTAGGCTTCGTGCGAGTGCTGTCTGACCTGCGGAGACGGCTGCTGCGTGCCCGGTCTCCTCACTGCTGGCTGCAGTAGGGGGACGGTGCTGGCCTGCATCCTCCGGTGCCCACCTGAAGGCTCAACAACCCGCTGGTGTCACCAAGCGCTGTCACGACATGCACTGAAAAGTGCTGCATGGAAATTGGAGAGAGGATCGCCCCGGATTGCTCTTTTGTCCGGCTGGGTTTGTGCATCACCGGGGTCTTCCTCAGACCCGCTAAGGTCAGACTGCTGCAGAACGACAGCTGCTGGAGGAGTTGGAAGATGTGCAGAGCCGGTTACGTTCTGTTTTAAAGCTGGGCGTTACTCGAAATTACCTCCAAATTTCAGTCTGAATTACAGCAGTGTGTTTTCTGAGAAATACGGCAACTTCTGGCTTGTAACCCTGACACCTGAGGGGTTTTTTTTCATGTGGGGGGACAGCCCCTTTGTGACCAGCCCCGTCGCCTGGAGAACTTGTCCCTGATCATGGGCTGGAAGTTTCAGTCTGCAAATGAGTACATTTGAGAAATACACACTGAGAGAAATTAAATTTATTTTGTACAAGGTAGAATACCTTTGCACAGTGAACAAATATATTACAAATCTGTCTTGCCTTAAAAAAAGTATTGCCATTTTGGTGCCTGTTTCCTAAGCTAATGCTAATATACAAGAAGGTACTTTTTTTTTTTTGTTGATTTTGTTTGTTTGGTTTTTTCCTCTTAAGCTCTATGCACATTGTTGCATTTGGTTTGAAAAATCCAGCTTTGAAAAAAAAAATACTGAGCACATCTCTGCTCTCTAGAGTCTCATTGCAAACTTTACAGCAACACGCATACGGACATCGGTCAGGCTGGTAGCCGAGGTGGCTTGTGCTGGGTGTCAAGGTCGGTCTCTAACGAGCGTTCCTTATCAAACTGCCTTTCTCTTGATATTTTTTGAGGTAAGTCTTTCTATTCATGTACATAAAATATATTCCTACTGGCCCTACAAAATAATTGTCTGCTTACATCTCGAATAAGGCTTTCCTGGAAAATAAAATATTGCTGCTCAGTCCCTGCCCCCATGCACACATGCAGCATTCGCGGAACTACTTCTGCGCAATCTTGCAACATGAAAATCTGCTGCTCTGGAAGCTGGGGGTCTCTGGGCTCAGCTTGGCTGTCTCACTGCACAACTCGTGGTTTGCACAGAGGGGTTCATAGCCACCCCAATCACCAGCAGGGTCCCGGCTCCTCCAGCAGCACATCAGCGGGGCTCCTGGCACCCCGACACAAGTGTGCTGCGGCAGTGAGCCCGCGGGTGCTGTGCCAGCTGCCAGCAGCTCAGTCCCACCATACCACGAGCTTTCCTCCCCAAGGTGAGGGCTGAGCCCATCTGTGAGGACGTGGGCTGGGTCCCACCAGCGTGACCCTATGGTCTGACTCAGAGCCAGGCTCAAGCCGCTGCCTCCCAGCTGGAAGGCTCCTCACACCAGTCCTCTAGACCGGCAGGTTACGGAGTGATCATGCTTTGAACAAACTGCTTGGTCTGGTTTCGTTCTCTTCTACTTCCGTCAGGCTGGTGAATGTGCAACAGAATTTTTTTTTTTTTTTTTTTTATATTTAAGAGGCAATCAACTTGCTACTTCCACATTTGCCTAATAAAGTTACATACTTAGAATCAATACTACTTCATGCTCAAAATCTACAAGGAACTGCTTAACGGCAAGTATTCTACTTTCTAGGTTGATAAAGATTACCAAAAAAAAAAAAAAAATCACGGTGGCTTAGTCCAAAACTTTACCATGAGCCAACCGATAAAGATTACCAAAAAAAAAAAAAATCACGGTAGCTTAGTCCAAAACTTTACCATGAGCCAACCCCTTGGTAATTACTTCACAAACAGCTGCTGAAAAGAAAACCCAGTTCCAGCTCCATTTAATGACATTTCAGGTAGAATCATCAACGGAGAAAGTTGCACGACATGGTAATGCACATCAAATTAAAGGGTGTGGTAAATGGCATGCTGTTAGATGAATCGTGATGAGGTGGTTTGTAAAGAGGGGCTGGAGAAGCCGATGTGTCTTAGCTTTAGGAAAGGAAACCAAACCAGGGTTAGTCTGTGCACACCTGCAGCATCCCAGGGCAGTAACCGACGGTGCATCCGTTTACAGTGCCTGGCAAAGCTGCTGGATTTATCTACCACAACAGAAGCTGCATAAGGACAATTAAACCCTCTCTGTGCCAATCAAAGTATTTTATAGCTTGTTAAAAGTGTGGTAAGCTGGGGGTGAGACTCATTGTCTCAACTCAAGTCATTAGCAAAGATCAGTGGAGGATTGCCAAGACGTTACATTTTAAAAACTGCACAGTGTGTCTGTGTTAATGTTCCTCTACTCAGACACCCGGGTACTGAATATGAAGATGAACATCTCAGTGCTAATTACCAAGCATGATCTGCGCAGGCTGCACATGGCGATGGCAGGAAATGAGGTTCCAGACAGTGAAATGACAAGTTTCCCTGCTTTCCTTCAGAAAAATGTCCATTTCCATGACAAAGATGGAAAAATATATTCCAGCGTATTCTAGTCACCTTGTCCCTAACAGTAAAAGGTTTCTTGATGCAGTTGGTAGAAATGTATATCTCTAAGTCTTCCTACTTGGCGTGTTTTTGTGTTTTATTTTACAGCAAAGCCAGGGTTAGAATACACACCACGGAGAGTTTTTGCCTGGAGCACGTAGACACCTTCCAGGGGTGACATGCTCCAGTCACCTGTGGCAGAGGTTCTGGTTAGTTCCCATTACCCATAGAAAAATGTCTTTATAAATAACATCATGCAGCAGTCGGCCCAAGCTGATGTTGTGTTACGTTAGGTCCTTGCGTGAGACAGCCTGAAGTCCCGTCAGCGTCGCGCAGCACAGAAAAGGATTGTCTTCTCTTTCGCTTCCTCAAAGTTCGTGTTTGCAGCGCAGGGCGCCAGTGAAGTCCATCCCTTTAAGACTGCTTGTCCCAAGATGGCCCGTGCGTCGGGCTGTGCCTTACGGGGAGGAGGTCGTAGTGACCAGGAATGTGACTGTTCCTCGGCAGGTCGTATGGATTTTGGAGGTAACTGGC